CACCTTCTATTATGTGACAGGCACCTTCTATGATGAGAAGGGCACCTTCTATAATGAGACGGGCACCTTCTATGAGAAAGACATCTTCTATGATGTGTTAGGCACCTTCTATGATGACAAGGGCACCTTCTATGAGAAAGGCATCTTCTATCATGAAAAAGGCACCTTCTATGAGAAAGGCATCTTCTATGATGAGAAAGGCATCTTCTATGATGAGAAATGTGATTTCTATGATGCGAAGGGCACCTTCTATGAGAAAGGCATCTTCTATGATGTGGAAGGCACCTTCTATGATAAGAAAGGCACCTTCTATGATGAGAAGTGCACCTTCCATGAGAAAGGCACCTTCTATGATGAGAAAGGCACCAATGTCATGACCGACTGTGTGAAAGGGGCCTAATGCAGTCCTTAGACTAACAGAGCCAGGGGGAAAAGAGGCTACAGTAGGGGTGGGCAAACTCCGGCCCTCCAGCTGTGGTGAAACTACAAATCCCATCATGCATCTGTCTCTAGGAGTCATGCCTGTGGCTGTGAGAGTCTTGCAATGCCTCATGGGATTTGTAGTTCAACAACAGCTGGAGTTTGCCCACCCCTGATTTAAGGTTTCATCGTTTTTTTGTCTTTTTACAGTCATGCGCAATTTTAAGGCTTGACTTGTTTGGTATGTATTACTTCCTTTATATTTTACCACTCATATATTGGGGGAATTGACGAAAACTGGAACAGACATAATGTGGAGCAGTAAGGCTCCCGTCCCCCTTCAACCACAGATACAAAAGAGTAAACTTACAGTCCAGCGCACAGGTCCACCTTCCCAATCTTTATTGCAGTAATGATGAACAAACAGCTCACATAGTACAAACCGCTAACACTTTTCAGCCTCTAAGGACCTTAGTCAACACTGGTTTATGATACTCAAATGTGTACTAAAATACTCTCCCACCCAAGGGGAAGTACCAAACATCACTTACACCTAAAATAAAAATAATAAACACACCAATTTAACACAAAATATCACTTGTCTAAAAACAAATGTAGAAGAGTTGTAGTCAGGCGCAGGGAAATAAGCTGAAAAACGGTCACGTGTGATTGGTGGGATTATGGGGAAAATCTTCTGGGGATCTTAATTTTTTTTTTTAATATAGGTGACTTTGCTTTCGGCTTACGTCTGGATTCACACCATAGCATTGTGTTAATAGCTTGATACAGTATTGTGTGATTAACGTAATGCTATTGTGTCAATGGTCCTCAAAATGCAAAAACAGCCCCGGCAGCGAAAAGGTTAAAAAGAGGGACATGTGAGGAGCATACCCCCCAACTTTCTGAGATGAGAAAGAGGGTCACCTTTTAGCACAATGGGGGGAATTTATCAAAACTGGAGCAGACATAATCTGGACCAGTTGCCCATAGTAAACAATCTTTCTTCAGTTTGTTCAGTTAAGCTCTGAAAATGAAGCACTAAGGTGCGTGCTCACGCACCGCGTTAAAAGCGTGTGACAAGCTTACAAAGTTTAAAACATGGTAAAACGTGCGTTTTCCCCTGCGTCTTCAAAAACCGTGTGAAGCTCACAGCTGAGAATGCTGAATGTGCTTCTTTGCCGTGTTTTTGTGCGTGCGGTAGTCCACTGAAATAAATGGGCTGATGCGCAGCAAAACGTGCACAAACGCGCCCGGTGTGCAAGGGACGGAACCCGGAAGACGGCAGCGGCCGGAGGACACAGCGGGGATCGAGGACAAGGTAAGTCCTACGCTGTATTCCCGAGTGTGGCTCGGGGTTACCGCTTTGTTAACCCCAAGCCACACTCGGGAATAAAAATGGATACGCGCGGAAAAACGCCCCAAAAGAAGCTCCTGTACTTGTTTGGGCGTAGGGCGTTTTTCGCGATGAAATACGCCCAGGTGGGAACCATGCCCATGGGGAATTATGGGATTTCCCTTGCTGAGCGTTTTTCAGCGCTTCGATCAGCGCAGAAAAACGCTCCGGTGTGAACCAGCACTCATACTTTTGACAGGTAAATAGAAACGTTTCATAACTGCATGTTATGTAACTATATTTAAGACTAGTATGATTTTATGGAATATACATACATACACATATATATATATATTACACACATACATATTAATTATTTGATCCCCTGCAGATTTTGTAAGTTTGCCCACTTACAAAGAAATGAAACATCCATAATTTTTTATCATAGGTGTATTTTAAATGATAAAAACAGAATATCAACCAAAAATCCAGAAAAAAAACACACGATACAAATGTATCGGCTCTCTGCAGTGAGATGATCGGGAAGTGAGCGAGCGACGGTATGTGTTCTCTCACTTCCCGATCTATAGAGCCGACGTGTGAGTTTCATTGTCACAGAACTATGAGGATGAGTGTAAGTCACTCACCTCATAGTTCTCCTTTAACTCTCAAGCAACCAGAACCCACAGGCATTAGTACATGTCAGATAACTGGGAGTTTACTGTATATATCTATATAGTGGGACTCTTAAGCTGCCCACACACCTTACAATTATCTGCAGATTTTCTGTGGTCAGATGGAAAAGGTGCAACAGATTCCTCCATCTATATTTAACTGTATGGATGGAGGAATCTCCACCTGGGCCAATCTGTGTCACTTTTTCCATCTGACCACAGAAAATCTGCAGATAATTGTAAGGTGTATGGGCACCTTAAGTCCCTGTTCACACTGAGCGGTTTATCGCTGCAAAATCGTGCTTTTGCGCGGATGTCGCGCGATTTTGCTCCTGATTGCTTGCAGCACAGTACGAAAAGTCACGCGGCAAAACGCGCAATGTCGCGCGTATGACAATCCCGTGGCAAACCACACATTTTCCTTGTCGCTCAGTGTGAATGGGGTGTTAGGAGGTAGCTTGCTTTTAATTCGATATTGTGTACTATGCTAGTGTTAGGCACTCAAATGATACTGGAGATATTTATGTACCCCGATTATGTTGATTTTAAATTTACCACTTCCGGGCAGCAATACGTCCCCCCCCCTCGCGCTGCAGTTGGCTTCCCCCGGGCACCTTTGTCCCCGTGCGGCGCCAGGGAGCGGCTCAGCGGGTCTCCCCGCTGATCTCTCCTCCGATCACTGGAGCCGGAAGTGATGTGTGTTACATCACTTCCGGTGTCACTCGTTACAGTCTTCGGCTCTTAGAGCCAGGAGATGACGCTGGGGAAGCAGATCCCTGCTTCCTCAGCTTCTTTGGGGTCTCTAGGTGACATTAGGGGTCTCAAAGACCCCTGATGTCTCCATAAAGAGGACCTGTCATGTCCTATCTTCTATTACACAGGGTGGTTGTTAGCACCCTATGTGATAGCAATAGGGCTAGTGTAAAAAAAAGTGTTAAAAAATGCTAAAAATGAAAGCAACATATAAGAAAAATAAAAAAATGCAAAAGATGTTTTTTAAGTCCCCCGCCCCCCCTCCCCATGTGCACGCACATACACACGCAAACACGCGTCGGTGCGCCTACGTGCGAAAACGACAATTGTGCTACACATGTTACATATCGCCGCGATCGTCGGAGTGAGAGCAATAATTCTAGGCCTATCAATCACTGTTACCACTAAACTGATGAGCGGTAAAAGCATTTAAAATGTTCCCTATGGGAAAATTTTGGGTATTGACTTTTTTTGCGGCTTCAAGGGCGAACGCAATTTTAAGGCTTGACATGTTTGATATCTATTTACCCGGCGTGATCGTTACCCAAAAAATTGGGTATTATATTCTGTTTCTGTGCACTAAATTTTTATTTATTTTTTCCTAAAAATACTGGTTTGATAAACATTTGCGCAAAAACCGCGCGACATACAAAATTGCAACTAACATTTTTTTTATTCTACAGGGCCTCTGCTTTCAGAAAATATATCATTGTTTGGGGATCTGGAGCTCTTTTCTAGCCCCCAAAAAATATATTTTATCATGTGTGTGCAAATAGTAAGAAAATGCTCCGGACAGCAAGTGGTTAATACGTTAGATTTTCTATAGGTTTGTTGTGTTTGATAGATCTGATGGATGGTGACACCTTAAAATGTATATTATAACTTTTGTTATTTCCATGTTTTATATCTGTACAACAGACCGGAGAGAGGGACAACTGAGGAGAAAAGAGGGACAGATAGTCCCAATTGAGGGGCAATCCCTCCAGACCAAGGCTAGTTGGGAGGTATGGAGGACTGGCAATTTTAAATGAAGGCCAGTCCCTTTAAATGAGGGCCGGGTGATGGTTCCTCATATGTGTGGAGAAGGAAGGTTTATCCATGTAGTTTCTTCTCCCACAAGTTGTATACAGCTTATGCGGCAGCACAGCTGGTCGTGTGGTGTGTGTGTGTGTGACACGCTTGTCATGTTCAGTCAGCGTGTGTACACCCGGGACAGGGTGTGTTCTCAGTAAGGGAAATGTGTGGAAGCCCAGCCCTGTTCCCCCGTTCAGTGTCCCCTCACCCGGCCTGTCACTCGGGGGTCCCATCACTCCGGGCTCCCAGCGGGTGAAGGACTGGCCTGGGAGGAGGCGCCATATACAGCTGGAAGGAGAAGGGAGGGGGCAGAAGCTTCTCCCGCCCTTCCAGGACAAGACATGAGCCTGAGAGCTGACCCGGGCACATAAGACTGCTCACACCTCGGACAGGTTCCGGACACCATCCATCATATCCCGGGATATAATACTGACCCATGGGTCCTCTTTTTCATGACTTCACCTAAAAGTTCCCCTGACAGGATGCTGGAGGAATGCCTTTGAAGTGACTTAATACATCAGCCCCAGCACTACAGACACACCGGGCTTGCATTGGATCGCCCTCGTAGTATATTCTGCACTGATTATTCAACTCTGATGACTCTACAGCTGCTGCAGGTGACATCTCCCACGTAACTTTAGGAGCAACTTTGTTTTTTTGGGGCTGTTGATGACAGGAGAGATGAGTGCTGTGCCCTGCTCTGCTCCCTGATACAGGGTGAATTCAATCCCCCCAGTGACTTGAGGGTCTGATCCCATGTGGGGAGGGACAGAGGCATCATCTGCCAGCATGGAGAGCAATGGGCTCTACGCTGCAGTTCAGGCACCAGCTGACATGGGGGGCTGCAGCAGAGAGCCGGCTGGATCGGGGGGCGAAGCTCAGTGCAGCATGTCCTCAGGGGCCCCGGCGGTAAATTCTGCCTCTGATCCACCAGGAGGAGGAGAGGGGACACAATGGATAAGCAAGCAGAGGTCACTGAGAGTGGTGTACGTTCTGATTGACAGCCTGAAATCAGCCATGGGGGGCAGCCCCGAATCTGGAGCCCTGCACTGCCTTCGCCGAGCTTGTGAGAATGAGGAGGCGCAGCTTACCTGTGTCAACTTTGGGGAGCTGGACTTTGGGGAGACCGCGGTGCTGGACGCCTTCTACGACGCAGGTAAGACGACTTAGGCTCGCCATACACATAACAATCTGACTATACAGTCTCTGTACAATCAACTTTAGATGTACCAAAACTATCAGGGCTATTCACAAAAGGGTGAAGAGTTTGGAGAAGGCAGGAGAAGTGAACAATCTCGGGGAACATAGCTGAACTGGAGCGTGAGCTGAAATGGAGAATTCTTCCAAATCAGCTATGTTGTCCTAGATTGTTCACTTCTCCTGCCTCTCCAAACTCTTCACCCTTTAGTGAATAGCCCTGTATGTAATATGAGGATTATACTTAATCTATCCAATCAATCTGTGTCCAATCAGGCAGGCCCTTGCTTACTCAGTTGCAGATCTAAAGGAGATTGTACAATCAGATTGTAATGTGTATGGTAAACCTTAGTGTGGCTAATGACAAGCTTGACACTGACACCAATGAAGTCACCTTTGTTAAAAATGAATCTGGTCATACTCTGCTCGAGTCCGGGTCCTCCTCAATCCAAGCTGTGTGTGGCACCATGCCATTCCACAAAAGTCGGTTAAATTGACTTTTGTCGAAGGATCTGATCTGAAAATTGATGGCAGCCAATCAGTTGATCAGGTATTCTGACAGCAGCGGATGTCAGATGTCAGAAGACAATCATTTGAGTGGGCTGAAGAAATAAAAACATCAAGTGTCATGGCCAGTCATGCTGAGATCTGTGGAAGATGACGTTTGTTCTATACCAGGGCAGATGTGCATTTTAAAGCAGACCCTCTCACTAATGTAATCTGATTGGCCAGTGATGTCCAACCAATCACTGATAGGCTTCTATCAATGATAGAAGCCTATCAGTCAGCTCCTGGAGCTAACTTACCAGCAGCTCCAGGAGCTGACAACAGAGAACAGTCATGTCTGCAGATCTAGTGTCTGCTGTCTAATAGTAAACATGGAAGGAGCCAGCATTCCAGGAATGAAAGTGCTTTATTACTATAGTGAAAACTTTCAATGAAGCATGAAAGGGTTAAAACCCTTGCCCGGTTATTTATTTTTACTGTTTGTGTACCATTGGAAAGAATTATCTTTTACTTCCTGTCCCAGATACACAACAGGAAGTTAGAGGGTATTTCCCAAGGTGAGGGGAATTCCCATCTTAGTTGTCCCCCCTGGGAGATATCCCCTTACATCTTGTTCCAGGGACAACTCTAAAGGCCCATTCACATCCGGGCATCCCGGTGCGTTGTGTTACCACACATTTTGTTCTTCACATGTTAGTGCTTTTGTGTTGAAGAAGAACTCCGGGTGAAACTTTTATTAATGATAGATTAAAAAAATACCACTATGGTGTCTAGGAATACACATCAACTGATGTGGTTGATAACATATATGCATACATGTAAACAAATACCACGCATACATGTAAACAGTAGTAAGGTGGAAAAAGAAGTTATACTCCAACCAAATATTGATAGTTATTAGCCAATTGGCTTACTTTATTTAAATAGAGTAGAAAAAGTATTTTTATAAGACCTAGTTGTGACCATTCCCAGGGCCGGTGGTGGCATAAGGGGGAAGTTGAAAAGCCGCGGGTGAGGCAGGATCAGCGATGCCAACGAAGCCAGCGCTAGAGGAAGCGAGGTGGCACCAGAGGGAGCAGAGCCGCATAAGCCCTTGCCTCCTCTATAGCGCCGTCTCCTGTCACAGGTGGAGTGATGCCAAATACACTCCGCCTGTGAGGACTTGATAGTGAAAGCGCGCTTCGCTCATTCTGGCCAGTGATTGGTTAGCAAATTACTCTTGGAAAGGTACGGCACCGCTGATTACCCTGATCACCATATTTTTGTACATGAATACATGTAGACTTTTCTACATAAGTGTGGATTGTTGTACATTAAAAGAAAAAACGTGTGTATATATATATATATATACCTACCCCGAAAATAAGACCTGGTGTGTGTTTTTGAGCCGCAAAAAATATAAGACAGTGGTTTAAACTTACCTGTGTCTTCCCTGCGCTCTCCCGTCCGAAAATGTGAAAATTCTCGGGCGGCCGCATAGGATCTCGGGGCGGGCGCATGCGCAGTTCACATTTTCGGCCGGGACGCGAGGAGGGACGCAAGGTAGGTCTATGGACGCGTGCACCCGCATGCAGACACCGTGGGACAGGAAGTGCCAGCAAAAGAGTCAGCGCTGGATCCGACACGCGCCGCAGTGCTGGAGAGAAGGCTGAATACATCAGGAAAGAAGAACATTGGATTAAGAGACGTCATTTAAGGTAAGGGCTTTAATTAACGTTGGGGTGCCTTTAATGTCACTTTAAGTATAAAGAGAGTATGAACAATGCACCATCGTAATGAAAATCTTAAATAAAATTGGCAAACTTTTATTAACCCTTGCAGTAGGGCTACCCCCGCACTGCAAGGGTTAACCGCTCATTTTGGTCTAGGAAGGAAAATACTCACCCGATTCTTGCAACCTTGGCACTCCTGCTGTTGTGGAACTACAAGACCTTGGCAGGCAAAGGCATGATGGGATTTGTAGTTTCACCATAGCTGGCGTACCCAGGTTACCTACCCCTGCTCTAGGCTCACAGTTAGTATGACCATGCTGTGAGAGCCATGGGTGAGCATGGTTGCGCCCTACAATGCTGATGCCCGCCTTTATGACTTTTAGCAATAGGCGAGTAAGAGATCCCTAAAGACAGTGGCTTATTGCTCTTTTTATGTTTTACTATTATATGACAATGACATACACTGCTACAAATCAGAGGGAGGCAGAACATAGATCTTGTGTTTTAGTCAAGGTCACTGACTTCCATTCCTCAGTTATAAATGACACAGATGATGCATCTCAATGTACAAGGACAGGGCACGCAATAGTATAATCTGCTTAGTACCAACTGATCAAAGTCGGCCTTCTTCTCCCTCTATAGAAACAGCTGTAAATCTAGGCCTACTGTCACTTGTTCAAACCAAAATAACTGCATGGATGTCAGCCGTGCCCTATGTGATGCACACTAATTCAAAATGACACCAGTAAATTGTCAAGAGAACAAAGGAAAGCTCTAGATGCCAGCTTCAGTTGGATACAAATCATTGAGCTTGGTGTGATAATTGAGCCTGGCATGATGTTGAGTATCACAATTAAATGTACAATCTGGGATGCATATGGAATCTAATTATTACCATTATGCTCTTTTTAAAATTGAATTAAGAAAAGCACTTTATTTCTACACAGAGGACATAATGAGATGGACTGATGGCTCTTCTACACAGAAGATTTCTTAGATGTATTAGTTTGATGCCAAGAATCACCGTTAAAGGAGAATTATGAGGTGAGTGCTTTTCACTCACCTCATAGTTCTAGCCGACCTGTGACAATGAGACTGTCACAGGTCGGCTCAGTAGATCGGGAGGTGAGCGAACACATGGGGCTGGATTCCCCTCTCCCCGCTCCGATCCGCCAGCACTGACTGGCGGAACGGACGGGGGAGGGGGCGGGTACAGCTGGCTCTGCCTCTAGATAGGCAGAGCCAGCTGTCACTCACGCAGCTGGGCGGATCTCGACATTGAGCCTAGGGTGACAAACTAGCGTCCTCCCGTTACCCTAAGGAGAACTATGGGGAAAAGCCCTGACCCCATAGTTCTCCTTTAATGACTTGTGTCTGATCACTGTATTTGTAGCTAAAAAAAACCCCGTCATATCATGTAATCACAGCATTGATCCTAAAGTGACACTAAACTTAAAAATGCATTCTATTACCCTATCTATGAAAGGGTTAATAAACCCTTGCATGTTTTTGCATATATAGCAAGCAGTAGCTATATGCAAAAACATTAGAGAAAAAAAAAAAGTTACCAAAAAGGTTTAAACTTACCTGTGTCTCTGACGCGCGTTCCCGTCCGCAGATCTGAAAATTCTCCTCTCGGCCACAAAGGATCATGAGGCGGGCACATGCGCAGTACAGGTCCTTGGCCAGGAGAAGAGACACAGGGTAAGTCACTGCAGCAGTATGCACCCACACAGACTCCGTGGGACAGGAAGAGACAGGAGTCGGCGCTGGATCAGAGACCAGCACCAGCGCTGGAGGGACTCCTGAAAACTACTGGAAAGAAGAAGATGATCGGATAAGAGGCATCATTTAAAGTGACATTAAAGGATAACAAATGTTTCCCTCCACCGCGTGTTAATGTCAGCACTTAAATTAAATGATGTCTCTTAATCCGATCTTCCTCTTCTTTCCCCATGTTTTCATCTGTCCCTCCAGCGGTGGGGCGGCTCTCCGATCCAGCGCCGACTCCTCTCTACTTACAGGCACTTCCGATCCAGCTGTGTCTGCAGGCGGGTGCACGCGTCCATAGACTTACTTTGCGTCTCTGCTCGTTTCCCAGCCGAGAATCCGAACTGCGCATGCGCCCGCCCCAAGATCCTTTGCGGCCGCACAAACAGTTCCGGACTCTCGCCGTGGGAGCGCGCAGCGATAATGAGGTCAGTCTAAACCGCTGTTTAAGCGGGGTTTTTTTTTTTTAAACGTTTTGCCTATATCTTCTGCTTGTCAGCATAAAAACGGGAGGCTTTAGAACCCCTTTAAGGTAAGTCCTTAAAGCAGCAGTAGGGGGGGAGCGTTCTTGACTTTAATGCAGGGGTCTCAAACCTCCGTCCCTCCAGCTGTGGTGGAACTACAAATTCCATGAGGCATTGCAAGATTCTCACAGCCACAGACATGACTCCCGAAGAGAGATGCATCATGGGATTTGTAGTTTCACCACAGCTGGAGGGCCAGAGGTTTGAGACCCCTGCTTTAATGTCCCTTTAACAATGTAGCAAATTTGTGTATCACTCGTCTGTAGATCCTCAAATCATCTCTGAATTGGTGCTGACACTGTCCTTCCTTCTGGAGGGTGACTACTTTTGTTCCCCATGGTCCTGTGTGTGTTGTAAAGTAGCCACCACTCCAGCTCTGAGTTTTGACAGCCGCATACAGGTGGTGTATGGCATCGGACGCAGACATGATGGATGCAGGTCAATAC